TGTAATATGGATTTCCTATTTTTGCTTTTTTTTTACATATACCTACTCCATCCTGAAAACAAGCTCCATAGACCCTCCACTTATATCCATAGACACGGATTATTCCATCCAGGCCTTCATAATAGAGCTGAGACAGCTCTAAAAAGTGTGAGTGTGCATCTACTGTACTGCACCATAATCTGTTTCTTGCTTTGTACTTATAGATTCATATACTAAGAATATAATCTGTATCGTATGTATATATAATCTTAGGCACTGATCACCTCCTGTCTGTTATCTTTACTATCCACATCACAAAGGTGGAGAGGACCTCTTGTTGATGATTTGCGTCAAATTATAGATATCAAGCACTTTGCAGTCACCAGTTTTTCCATATCCTGAGCTTTAATTTATCTACCTAAAGGCTACAAGATGCATTCTATTTTCACATGTGGAATTTCATATCTACCATTATACTTCATGTCATCTGTCTGCCATGGTCTAAGCCTTGGTCGTCATTTGTGGCATTTGACATTCTTTCCTAGGTTTTGTTACCTTTATGAACTAACATTTCTAGATTTCATAGTTTACTAGTAAGTATCTACTATGTTTTTATAATACATCATGGAGGGTTTTTTTTTGGAATGAAATACAGGTCTCTAGTTTCTGTAATAATTGTCGTTAGAGATAGTGACAAATTATTGCAAACTACAAAATGATGATAGTTCTATGTATTCTATGCAATACAAACCTGCCCACCTGAAAACTGTTTGGCAACATTTAAAATGGATTGTGGCACTAAATTCAACTCCTGTTCATTGGTTAAAAAAATTGGCTACAGAATTTTTGGGGAAAAAGCATTTCAAACGTGTTTTTTTATTAAATGATCTAATAAAAAAAAATCTACAAATACAAAAAATGAAAATTCATATTATATTCAAAATCTCTGAATAGCTAAACACAATTTCTGCAAAAAAACAAATACAGAATTCAAATACACCTACTTTACAGTTATAACTCACCACCAGTTGTGCATAGCATATCATTGTTCATTTTTTTTGGTTTTTTTTTCCCTTTTGTTTGTCTTTTTAATGATTGATAAATGTATATTAACCTGGGCATACTACTGGTATCTGCTGTATTTATGTACATATGTATATTAATAGTAAAAAGCTATGTTTGTCGCAAAACTTCCAAATGCAAACATATATATGGATATCAGACTCCTATAATTAACTGTGGAATTAAAGAAATCTGGTGTGCCTATTGCATCACACAGGGATGAGGGAGTCAGACTATTGGTATGTCGCTCAAACTGGATAAAAATAGGGATTCACCAAAAACCTGTCCAAAGATATAATTAACTACTTTTTAAGTTCTCCGGGAGGCTGATTCACTGATATCTAAACAGAAGATGGACATTCTTTAGAGTAAGGTAATCACAGAGTTGTGCTGTTACTGGTGGTAATTTGAAATCCTGGTAATTATCAATTGAATTCATATTTTGTGCAGCATCTGCTTTTCTTAACTTAATTAACATGAATGCATATCCAGTGCCAGAGATTATATTAAAGGGACTGTAATGCCTTCAAATAAAACAGATGGTAAAGAGAACATTATGGTAGCAGTATCATTCTTTAAAGAAAATGTTTTAAAAACTGGTAATATATTTTGATCACTTTAAAGAAGTTTTGGACCATAACACTTTTTTTTTTAATGCAGATTTTTGAACTATATTTTAGGACTGTTTTTCTAATTCTAGGTTTGGTCTTGTGCCAACAGATATGTTTCTTGTATAAACATGAGCACTCAGTAACATATATAATCTATAGATTTTAAAGCAAATTAAGCAAATGTTGGACCCATTCAGAGGACTCCGCAGAAGTACTCAATGGAAAATCATATACAGCGTTATTCACAAAAAGTGAAATTGTTGGTAAATCAAAGTGAATTTCAAATTAAAGGTACACTGTAAGCGCCAGAACCACTACAGCTTAAAGGACCACTATAGTGCCAGGAAAACATACTCGTTTTCCTGGCACTATAGTGCCCTGAGGGTGCCCCCACCCTCATGGTCCCACTCCCGTGGCGCTGAAGGGAGAGGAAGGGGTTAATCCCTTACCTTTTTTCCAGTGCCGGGCTCCCTCTGCGCTGGGGACTCTCCTCCCTCTTCTGACGTCCCTGGCTGAATGCGCATGCGCGGCAAGAGCTGCGCGTGCATTCAGCCTGTCCATAGGAAAGCATTCTCAATGCTTTCCTATGGATGCTGGCGTCTTCTCACAGGAAGCGCCTCTAGCGGCTGTCAATGAGACAGCCACTAGAGGCTGGATTAACCCTATTTTAAACATAGCAGTTTCTCTGAAACTGCTATGTTTACAGCAAAAGGGTAAAACCTAGCTGGACCTGGCACCCAGACCACTTCATTCAGCTGAAGTGGTCTGGGTGCCTATAGTGGTCCTTTAATGTAGTGTTTCAAAGGGAATGAGCCTGTCCCTACAGTCTTTCCATTGTTTTCTGAGAATAAGCATTGTTTACATTGTTCCCTAGAAATACCTCTAGAAGCCATTCAATGCACTTCCTCATTACAGTCCTGCAATCTTTGCAAGACTGACATTTGTCGTCTTCGAGCTCTGCACAAAGATGCCGAACGTAGCATTAGGACTTTGCAGGCGTAAAGCCCATTGTTACTCATAGAGCAATATTAATTTCAACGATGCTCTGCAAGAAGCATTTGATTGGCAGATGGCGGTGATTGACACTGATATGTTATAGGTCCTGTTTCTTAATAAGAAGCATTTAATTGGACAAAGTGATGGCATAATTATTATGACAGAGCAAGTAGATTGGGCTGGAGATCTCGGAGCTGGATTCAAGGTAAGTTTTAATATAAAATCTAAGTTTATTCGATGCAAAAAGGAGCCCATAAGTCTACATGAAGACACTAACACATCTGACTGTTAAAGATTTTTTATTTTTTTTACAGAGTTTACCTTCGAGGCCAAAATACTCAAACTGGAAACATCGCTAACTTGAGAATTTTTCCAGTTTGGCTATTTTAGCCTTAAATCAGAAATTTACTTTAAATTCTCAACAATTCTCACTTTTTCATAGATTGATCCACATATTCTTTTTTTTGTATCAACCAGAACAATTTCTCTACACTAGAGTCGGAAAAAGACTGGTATTGTGCATCTCAGACTGTAAAAAACATTTATAAAATGTAATATTATTATGTCTGATTTGTTTTGATATTTCATTTTCTTGTTTGAGGAACTTGTTTTCTTGTGCTGTATGGACTGAACAAAAATATAAACACTCTATCTATGCCAGAGGCATTGAATAAACCAATTTATTACGCGATGACCAATGGGTCAAGAAGAAGACATATGTGGTTTTCAATAACTTTTACTATAGGATTAATTCACTAAACTAGGGGCTATGAAGGCATTAGAAGGGGTTTCCAAATTCCAGTGTACGATTATTAACAAATTGTTGTTTAGCATTCAATTAACATGCAAAGTCACTATCTGTTTGCTGCATCTTCCCCTGTAGGAGTCTGGAAAACATGCTGAGTTCATTTATCTTATTCCTTATGTGCTGTAAAACAAGCAAGCTATATTGATCATTTTTATATTATGCCATTGGCGTTATAGTCTACTGTGCTTTCTAAGTTCATCTGTGGGGAAGAAAGATTAAGGCTACGCACTCGCAATGCAATATACAAGCAAGTTTATTGCCCAGAGCAACACTGTATCATTTGTACATGTTATGCACTACAATTCAGGATGGAGGCTGTTAAAATGCGACAGGGGTTAAAATGTTCGTCCTTGTAGCGGTAGTTTAATTCTAAATTTCCATATTAACAGAAGACACAAGAGGAGACTACAGCAGAAATTGACCATTTAGAGGAACCGTTTAGCAGAAACAAATCCGTATTAACTGCCTTTATTATGATGCTACTGTGTTACCAGTAATTAGCCGCACTCACACTTAGGAATCCAGGTGCTTATCAGGGCCAGGGTTGGCAAAACCCAGTTTAGTAGATAAAATAAATTAGGTTCGGGCACTCAGGATTGCTGCAGGAAGGCAGGTTTATTGGAACAAAAAGTGCAAAAAGTTCATGCTTGATGAAGGCCTCTGTGTAGGCCGAAACGTTGCACTTTTTGTTCCAATAAACCTGCCTACTTCAGCAATCATGAGTACCTGGACCTAATTTATTTTATCTACTAAACTGTGTTACCAGTCTCATCTACTGATACTCAATGAGCCCTTGTGCATGTCATCCCTGCCTAATGTACTTTTGTATTACCCTGATTTAATAAGACTGGGGCAGGACTATGAAACTTTTATACTGACCCAGTTTGTGCTATTCGATAAGCCAGAGTATTCAAGTCTGGCTTGAATTGGCAAATTGCAATCCAGAGAAATATTCAATTGTGTGAGAGAAGATAAAGCATTCTAGACAAAGTGGCAAACTGGATGTGCCAGCTGGCACTTAGCAATGCGACTAGCTCATTTAATTATTTTCAAATATTTTTATTGAACCGTTTTTGCATTTTACAATAAGGATATAACAAAGGCAAAAGGTAAAAGGCAATAAGGGGAAACAAAAAAACATAAGGGTAACAGATACCCCATCACCATGTAGTTACTCACAAAACATAGAAGGAGCCGTGGGCATATGGATACATTCACTTCATGAAAGCAACCAGTGTATAAATACAAATATGTTCTAAATGTCCAAAGTCTCATGAATTAAGCGCATACCTCCATACTCTGTTCCAATTAACAAGTATGATTATCATCATCATCATTTCTATAATACCAGTATATTCCATAAAAATCATCTCTTTCTTCACCAGTAAACCGTGGAGGATCCATATTAAAATGAATGTTGCCAGTGGTGATGTTTATAGATATACACCTGAAATCACACAAAACAACACTTTTTGAAAAAATCTTGTCAAACACAATTTTGTTGTTTTTCTATCATTGTGATATGTTGTTAATATGACATGTTTATGTCATACAAGATAGTGCATGTCATAAACATGTTTACCATCCCAGGTGTTTATATGGTTTGGAAATATTGGAGTCATTAAAGTTAGTAATTACTGCACTAGGTGGCCGTTCCCTCTTCTGTAGGACTAACAGGATTATTTACTAAACTGAGAATTCAAAGTAAACTCCAATGCCAGAGTAGCCAAAATGAAAGCATGGATGAATTAGACAATGTTTCTGGTTCAGCCACTTTTATATTCAATTTGAAATTTCCTTTTTAATTCTCATTTGAGTGAATAACCCTGTCTGTGTCCTTCAACCCATCACGGTAACATATAGGAAATTCTCTGGAAGTTATGAAGATATTCTTGTTACCACACTGACTATGCAAACAAAAATGAGAATTGAATATTGTTGGTTAGAAGACAGAGTGTTAGTGGATATCATTGCTTGACCATCACAAATATTTATTATAGCACTAGTTAGCAAATGGTGTGTACCTGAGCTACACTTGGTTTCCTCACACTGGGGTAAGCAGCAAATCTTTATCTCTTAATTAATGTAAGTACAGAAGAGCATATAAACTATATGATACTATAGACATTAGACCAGTGGTTTCCAAACTGTGTGCCGCAGCGCCCTGAGGAACCGCAACGTGCCCACAGGGGTGCTGCGGAATGTTTCCCCTGTGCTATGATTATAGCACTGGGGAAACATTACTGCTAAACAGGGGCCCAGTCAGGTGTTGCGGTTCTCTAATACCACGACCGGGCCCCTGTAATGTCATGCAGGCAGACAGCGCGGGAGGAGGCAGCCGCAGCATGAGGGGAGAGGAGCATGAAGAGCTCCATACCCCTCACTCCCACCAGCAGCAGGACTCCAAACCTCCCTCCTGGACGCATACATTTGCAAAAAAAAGTATGTCAACCCTTTGGAATGATATGGATTTCTGCACACATTGGTGATAAAATGTGATCTGATCATCATCTAAGTCACACCAATAGAAAATCACAGTCTGCTTAAACCAATAACACACAAAGAATGAAATGTTGCCATGTTTTTATTGAACACACCATGTAAACATTCACAGCGCAGGTGGAAAAAGTATGTGAACCCTTGGATTTAATAACTGGTTGAACCTCCTTTGGCAGCAATAACTTCAACCAAACATTTCCTGTAGTTGCAGATCAGACGTGCACAACGGTCAGGAGTAATTCTTGACCATTCCTCTTTACAGAACTGTTTCAGTTCAGCAATATTCTTGGGATGACGTGTGTGAATCGCTTTCTTGAGGTCATGCCACAGCATCTCAATCGGGTTGAAGTCAGGACTCTGACTGGGCCACTTCAGAAGTCATATTTTTTTTCTGTTTAAGCCATTCTGTTGTTGATTTACTTCTATGCTTTGGGTCATTGTTCTGTTGCAACACCCATCTTCTGTTGAGCTTCAGCTGGTAGACAGATGGCCTTAAGTTCTCC